TGTCGAATTCACCAAGAGAAATCAAATTTCTCTTCAAATCAGGTACATACCTGACTTCAGTCAACAATCTTATTGACTCATCATGGAGCTTGAATCTCACAGATCCAACGCCTGCAATCTTGCAAGCTTTGTTGTTTCCCAGCAATACAGATCCACCATCTTGATCACATAATTCCTCGAACAAGTCTTTGTTTGGAGTCATGTGCCAAGTGCATCCAGAATCCATAATCCACTCCTTCGACGAGTCGTTGCTTGAAACCACAAGAACATCAGATGATTCGAAATCATCTTGGACAATAGCTGCATTTCCATTATCCTTTCCTCCATGATCTTTCAGGCGTTCAGGGCACACCTTTCTTGTGTGACCTACTTTCTTACAGTGATAGCATCTAATACCAGATGTGTTACCACTATAAGACTTCGACTGATTTTTACCTTTCTTCTTGTCGAATTTTCCTTTAACGGCCAAACCTTCACCAACCGTCGAAGGTTTATGCTCCTTACGTTCGTTCAAGTCCTTAGAGTACAGAGCTGATTGAACTTCTTCAAAGGTCAGGGACTCTCTTCCATACAAGAGGGTTTCTTTGAAGTGAGCATGTGATCTGGGCAAAGCGCACAACAATAACAACGCTTGATCTTCATCATCAATCTTTACATCAATATTTTCAAGATCAAGAATCAGCTTGTTGAACATATCCAACTGCTCAGCCAACACTTTGTCTTCGATCATCTTGAATGAATACAAAGCTTGCTTCAGGTAGAGTCGATTTACCAGAGATTTGGTCATATACAAACTTTCAAGTTTCACCCATAACCCTGATGCCGTCGTCTCCTTTGATACCTGTCGAAGAACCTTATCACCAAGGCTCAACAAAATTGCGCTGTGTGCTTTCTCGATCATGGCCGTCTTCTCTCTTTCTGTTAGCGCAGCGTCCATCGCCGTCGCTCCCTTCAACGCTTCCAAACAACCCTGCTGAACCAGTAGGGCTTTCATCTTCAAGCGCCATAGACCGAAATCATTCACTCCGGTGAACTTTTCAATCTCATACTTTGTTGAAGGCATCTTCTCCACGCTCACCGCACCAATTTGTTGTGAATTCAATGCCAATAACAAAGTATAGAATTTGGGAAGAATAAAGAACAAGGAAGAAGAAGAACACAAGAATTGGTTATAACTGCTATTCTTTACTTTCTCTTAGAAAACAAGATTACAAGTTTACAAGAATAACAAATAACCCTCTCACCCTAAATTAGGATTTGCTGTGTTGGCAATGATGAGAGACTAGTATGCTATTTATAATAAAACCTAACATACTAAATAATGGGCTTTTTCCACAAGGCCCATTATACAAGCTAACTTAACACACAAGCTAACTTAACAAATTAGGGTTTAAACACTAAAACCTAATTCGACAAGCATCCTTCGACAAATACATGCTAGAACCTTCTTCGACTACAGCAAGTACTTCGACCAACTAGAGTTCGATCCAAAATTCCACAAAACAAAATCAATAAAATACTGAAACAATAAATCTCAACAACAGAATTAACAACAACAATAACAAAAACAAAATACATAGAATATTTAAACATTAAATCTTATCAACAAAAACAACAATAAATAAAAAAAATTAATAGAATCGTTAAATACAAAATTTCTACAACAACAACAACAACACTAATAGTTTTACTTGATACAACTACAACTAACGTTAAACATTTTTAACAAGGAATTACTAGATAAAAGATTACATTAAGTAACCAACCTTGAAATATTTTCCTTCTCTTTCTTTCATTATCATTGTTTTCAATATGTTAAGTTTAAATCTCAGCACTTTGCATCCAAGATGGATAGTTATGGCATTCACGTTTTGACTGACTAGTGAGAGTTTACACGGATCACTAATTTTTCATGTGAATTGATGACTTGGCAATGTCTTGACCATTGTTACTTTATAAACGGACGACAAAGATTCGTTACATAATTTTTACATCAAATTGGTCATAAATTAAAAAATTAAAAAAAATAAAATATGCTACTTTGCCCCTCGGTTTCGTTGCAGTTCCTCAACCTATTTCAACAAGTTTGCAACTTGTTCATTATAAACTGCTACTTGACCTATATATTTTTTAGCTTGTGCCTCCAACTCATCAACTTGACTTTGAGACCGAGAAACCAGGTTCCATTGTTGGGATATAGTTCAACTCTTTATCCTAAGCTTGATTACAGACTCCTTCTTCATTTTTATGTGTTGAGTGAGTTGGTCGAGAAATGGTTTAAACTCTAGTATGAAATGAATAGTTGGATTAGGAAAATATTGACCACTAAGTACATTTAATAAATCCCTGATGTAAGGCAAATGAAAAGGATATTATTTGATGGTTTTGAATAAATTTTCTTCGAAGACCTTTGTTTTTAATTGTTGAACCTGTAGAGTGAGGGAGTAGCCATAAAGTCCACTACTGGACACAATTGAGGAGCTTGAAGATTTTCCAATAGAGCTCATACTTATATTGATCATAAGCTTTTTTAAAGCCTCCGCAAAATATTTTTTCTGTATGGATTATAATTATTCATGGCTAAGAGAAGTACTAGAGGTTTTTGATGAAGAATCTCTTGTCTAAGAATGAGACATAGCAGTTGTAGTTGAAAAAGGAACCTCAGTGATTGCTGGAGAGCTTAGTAAATTTTGAACAACATGTTGCTTTTCTTTTTCGATGGTAACAGCCTGAGTTTCCATTTGATCTTGGTCCTTTAGCATATGGTAAATATTTTCTTGCCATTTGGTTTTCATCTAGACTAGTCACTACTACAGAAAACACCTACCATGACGGCTGGAAAAGGGATACAATAAAGCTAGACCAATCATTGTGAGGTAAGTTGTTATTGTATATATGATGCTTACCACAATGGTTGTAGGACTGTTGTGATAAATTAGGTAGCGCGTCCTATATCACAACGGTCAAAGTAAACAACCGTTGTGATATAAAGAAAAATGTCAAGGGTTCGATACCCAATGATTATATGGTTATTTATTTATCCTCTCTTTCTATAACAACAGGTAGTATAATAACCGTGACTAGATTTTTCATTTTATTTTAGGTTTTATTTTCCAAACCTATATATATATATATATATATATATATATATATATATATATATATATATATATATATATATATATATATATATATATATATATATATATATATATATATATATATATATATATTACAAACATGTATTTTTTCATAATTAACTTGTATACATATTTAAATATTCACAAAAATGTTATACATATATTAAACAACAAAAATATGTTTACAAGCATCAGAGACAATCACGATAAAATACCACCCCCATTTTCAATCAACACGTTGAACACAAACTCCCAAGGTTTACAGACGTCTTCTAAGTCATCAGGAGAGAATTAAACATCTACATAAAAAAGTTCAAAAAATTTAACATCATGTATGAATTATAATAGCAAATTACTTTAACATTAATATGTTAATTGTAAACACATTTCATGACATTATATATACCTTATCACATGAATAAACAATGTTGATAGAGATAATAGTATACATGTGTTTCATTACATAGTACACTCAGTCTCATCCCTCTAGTTATCTCATAATCTACAAATTTAAACATTTCACGTGAATATATATAATCACACACACATACACACACACACACACACACACACACACACACACACACACATATATATATATATATATATATATATATATATATATATATATATATATATATATATATATATATATATATATATATATATATATATATATATATATATATATATATATATAAGTTAATGTCACAAGTTATCCACTTACCTAGGGGTCACAAAATTGAAGTTTGTTTTAGAGTTGTTCATCATATAATGTCTCTCCACAAAACTGTATAGAAAATTCAAATATAATTACAAGTTATTACAGCTAAGATAATTACAAATTCAAAGAAAAAACTAATCAAAGTCTCAAACATAAAGTTACCTAGTAATGAAACTTTTCATCTTAGGTTCGAGTGGTTTGTCTAAAGAACACAATGTAGTTACCATATTCATTCAAAGAGATATGATAATCAATTGAAAATGATTTCTGATTGAATAATACAAGCATATATAGTTAGTATTTATTAAAACATGAAAACTACCTATAATATATAAATCATTATTTTAAAAATACTCACTTATGGAGGAATGATGCTAAGTAATATTTTTTCCCTCCGCTATCTATAATGTTAAGAAGTCTTCAAAGATTTTTTGTAGTATTATCTATAAATTGTACTCTAACTGGATCCAACAATACATAACTACCTGATTTATTTAACTCCATACAAACACTGTGAATGTACTTAAATGGTTAATCAAATTATAAAAAACATGTGAGGAATTACATCATTGCAAAAAACAATGAATGGACCATAATGAGATATACTTACATGCATAAAAATTATATTACCCCTACGTCCAACCACTTTTGTCCAACAATCAAATCCTTTATATCATTAGCGTCGAATATGAATTTCGTTAACCCTCGATATATGGACCATGTACTAGAGGAAGAGTAAAGAATTTGTTTTAATGGCACAAATTATGCTTAAAATTGTGTCATATGACCCTTCAGAGAGATTGAATAATTTGTTATCAATCGCGTGACCGATGGGGGTGGCTGAACAATTCCCTTTTGTGACAACATTTTTAGCAAGAAATTAATCATCCTCATCATCATCTTCACTCGTACATGGTTGGACGCTACCACTTATTCTATACATCATAATTAACACATTATTAACACAATATTCTCATCACATGCACACAACAGAATTATCACAATATTCTCACATACCACATATAACTCTTTTATGTGTTTTAGTTTTCTCCTGCGAGTTTCCCACTCATATAATTGCTCTTGAATTATTTCTTTTGACTATAAATATTGATCTGTAAATCTTCTAAACTTTCATTTTACGCATGTCTAGTGGTTTTTCTGGATGTACCAAAATACACTCTCAGGCCAATGCCATCTCCAACACCACGGAAACACTCATCGTACTCCTTTGTTCTGACGGCTTCTACTAATTTATCATTCTGTGATTCTAGAACGTAGGAACCTTCACGTGATAAGGTAACCAACAGATCCTACACAACTTAATAAGACATACATTGTTAATTACCAAAGTAATTTAAATAACACATAACATATGAACAACAAGTCCTATGTACTTACAATTCTCTCAGCGACTAATATTGAGGACTCAGAGTGTAGTCTCAATTTTGCCTTTGTCGAGACCTCTTCCACATCTCATGTCGTGATGGTGGAGATGGTTCTCAGTTACCACTCATGTCTACATCTCCTAGTCCTATGTTTTCTGTAACCCCCACGAGATAATATATCAGGGTATTTGTTTTTAGCCTTGTTCACCTTTCCCGCTTCACTTTTTACCTGTTTTAAAAATAGGATAAATATTAACGATAATGGTTGTATCTATAAAATTATTAGAAAATATAAATGGTATTAACCATGAACTTCGCAGGACCACGAGACTTCACAAACTTTCTCCAAACCTTCTTACTTAGATAAGGATATTTAACCCACTGACAGTCTATATTGGGCTTAGGCTTCGTGATATAGTCACTCATGAGTCGTGACTTAAGACTCATCCAAGTCGTACCAGCATAAGTGATCCACATTTTTCAACTTTGGATCATCACTAAACTTAAACGTCAACTAAACATTTACATCAATAAGTATGTATTAGTGTTTATATAAAGTAATATCGATTGGATAAAAATTAAAATTAATACTTGAACATTTGTCCATATGCTCGTTGTCACCTCCTTTGTTACATATTTCCAATCATCTAACAATATGTTGTCTTTGCTACGTCTAAGGAACAAAACATAAATCTTAAAAAGGGAAGAATTAGGACCATCAAGAATCGTATGAAAGACACTAAACTCGATCAGAAGTCTGGCACATGACTTGTGTCTTTTTCAATTTATCCATCATTGTGGCACCTATTTGTTTTTTATTCTCCACCTACAGATTGAGAATCGTTTGTATGGGTTTCATTTATAAACGTAGCTTCGTCGCTACTGGGTTAAGAAGATGCAGAGGAAAAGGCCATCTATCAACAACAAAAACAAAAATAACAATGGCATAAACAACACTTAACAAATACGTAAACAACAACAATGGCATCAAGAACAATGAATACATAAACAACAATAATGGCATCAAGAACAATGAATACATAAACAACAACAATGGAAACAAAAACAAGACCTTAATGGAAAATAATGAATATATCAATAACAGTGGCAACAAAACCAAGACCTCAATGGAAAATGGAGGTACTCTAGAAGCATAGGGAAAACGCTTACGTATCGGAAACATGATGAAGAAGTAAAAAATGGTGGTGGCTCTTTGTTTGAGTTCCTCCTCAATCGATGATGTCTAAAATGGGTGTGACGATACTGCTTTTGTTTGGTTTAGGGTTGCGATGGTGTTGTTTGGTTTAGCGTTGGGATGAAAATACTCACCACAGGTTTAAAATGGGTTGCGATGATAATGCTTTTGTTTCATGGTGGAAATAAAAATATGGAACTGAAGAGACAAGTAAACTAGTGCTTTTCCCTTAAAGTGAATAAGGCATATCACCACGGTTGAAATTAAAAACAGTTGTGATATTTGATGAAATTTTATGAAAAGCTCCAGGATTTAAGATTTTAAAATTTTAAAATTAAAAAAATAAACGATAAATATACCAAAAAGGTTTTCTTTAACAACCGTGGTGATATAATATTGACATTAATGATATTTTATAAATAAAAAACCGCGAGGTTTTACGTAATTAAAAATTTAAAAAAATTGGAAAATATATCACAACGGTCTCCTTAAAGAACCGTGGTGATATTTGTTTTTTAACTAAAAATGAAAGGCTTATGTAAAATACAGAAAAAAAATCATGAATTTGTAGGCGCTGAGAATCGAACTAACCACCACTTATATTATATCACTACAATTGTTTAAATAACTCGTGGTAATAAACAAACAATGTTTAATTAAAAAATCAAAATATATATAGGTGCCATAATATATAGATATCACTAAAGTCCTATGAAGGACCATGGTAAAGGTGGCGTTATGAAATGTGTTTTCCCTAGTAGTGAGTCAATTGTGGTTCGAGACCTTGACTTTTGACCACTTTTCTAATTGCTTGCCAACTGGCTTCCCAATTAGATCTTCAATTGCTGGTTGTGGTGGTGGTGATTTTGTTGGAGGATGGTTGGATTTCAGGACCTCGTCAACATTTGAGATGATGTTTGTTGTTGGAGGAGTAGCAGGAATTATAATTTCCTATAAGAATTTAGAAGTGGAACAATATTATTATTTGTTTGATTTATACTGGAAAAAAAGATACAAATGAAACTCGAAGTACATGGACTCCCAATGGATGGGGCTTGAATCTTCACTCTTTGAATGTTCATCAAGAGTAGGTTGTCTTTGTCGATCTACTTTATTTCGAGATAATTGAGTGCCTTCATATTCTTCTTTTTTTGTCATCGTCATAAGAAACAACCAGATTTCTTTTTTGTCTCTCTTGCATTGTGGCCTTGTGAGTTGGGATATTTTGCTTCTAAGCCTAGAAAGGTTTTAATTTTTTAGCCTCGTCCTGCCATTGACTCCTATATTTGGGACAATTGATTTCAGAGGAACCTCTTCATTTTCCTCGTGATCATCATCCTCGTCATTCTATTGGTCCTCATTATTTTCTTAGACTCTTAGGCCAAAATTAAACGTTTACAATTATTAGTGCAATGAATAGTTGAGTAAAAGAGATAAAATATGTTAATACAAGTTGAAGTTTGGGTTAAACATGAGTTCCTTCACTATCGAGAGTGACAATTGGTGTTTCTTTTCTTGTCTTTTCTAACTTGGGGTAGCAGTGGAACTACTTCCTCTTTTTCCTGAAATATAAGATCATAGATAAATAAAAGGTAAGGAATTTGGCATAAAGAGAACAAGGGTTTTGGTAATGTACTTGTTTTGTCCTTTTTGATTGGCCGAGTGTTGAGCTAGATTCTTCTTCAATATCTTCAGTTTGTTCAATTTTCATATTCTTCGACTTTTTGCGGGGAATAAGAGCCCGAGCTACAAAATTTCGACACAAGTAAATAGTATGAACACAAAAGAGGAGCTAGTGAGCTTTAAGAGTCCCTTTATCTCACCTTCCATAATGGTGGATGTCACTCGAATGTGTTCAGGTTTAACTCTTAAAGGCTATTGATAAATATGTATATTACACCTAGTCGAAGTTACTCTTTGGGTAGGCATTTTCGACTCATTTATTAGGTCCTTCAAAGACCAAAAATGACACCATTTTGGAAGTGGAAGCATGAAAGCTATGCCTAGTTCACAAGTTGGTAATGGTGAAAATATGGAAAGATGAAATTCTAAAGAAAACTTATATTTATTTCTTACGTAAGAGGGAAATTAGGTTTTGGAAGATCTTTAGTAATTTTTTGTTTTAAAGAAAAAGTCGCCTCATATATAGTGTTACTAAGTCGACACAGATTATACACAATTTTGAAAAGCTCGAATCTCCTTGATGTGTGTACCTCAACTTTTCGGTTTCTTGGTTTGTTTCTGCAAAGTGGAAAAAACATATTTAGATGTTGAAGCAGATTTTAGTGGTATACAACAACACTGTTAATGTGCATTCCACCACTATTTAAATTCCTTAATGTAGAAAAAAGAAGCTTCAAATTTGAAGGAGCTTGGGTTAATGAATTTTTGGGCATGAAAGTCTAAACACTCATTGTAGTTTTTCTTTGACACTATGGTATTAGACAAGCATACGTCCATTTCCTTGGCAAAAAAGCCATCTTGGCAACAATTGGCTGAAACTAAATTTCCTAGCAGCCAAATTTGGATGATATCCAATAAGCCCAACAAGCCCAAGCCCGACTTTCCTAATTGAAATTTTAGTTGACAGAACAATGGGTTTAAATAAAGCTACCCATATGTCGAGAGATTCAGATTAATTCTTAGGTGAAGAAGTTGGAAATTCTCTTCTAAAGTAGTCTGGTCCGTAACTTTGACGGACAAATGGTACCATAAAGGAAATAAATTGGGTGCAATTCATACACATGAAGAAGAATTTATTGAAAACTTCTTCATTTGATAAGTTGTCATCCTCCGGAGTCAGCAAATTGAGTATAATGCCTTCGACGTGTCTTGCCAAGTCAGGTGGTACAAAAAAATCAAGAGAAGGTTCAAATGTGGAATTAAGTCAAAGCTGAAGGAGCCCTGTGGGGAAAAAATCAGAAAATTCTCATCAAATTAGGTTTTTTCTTTGAAGCCAATGGAGGCATCTTCTAAAGATTCATAAAGGCAACCCAAGATCAATTTGCTAAGACAAGCTTCTCGTGGAGTTGGGTTGCTAGTGGTATGAAATTTTTGGCTATTTGGAGAGAGCTAGAACAAAAAATGTAGTGAGATAACCAGAGGGTGAGGAAAGTGATGTGCTCATAGTCAAAAACTTCCTCAATTTGCTTATTGTGATCTTTAATGTAGATATTGAAACTAGCATGGTCGAAGAAAAAATTAGGTTTGGTCTTGTTCTTGATTGAGGGGTAGAAATTTCCCCCTGTTGGTCGAGACCAATGATGGTATCAACATCGAAAAATGTAAGAGTTATCATCCTGCTGGTTAGTTGAAAAGTGTTGGTTGAAGATTCCCAAAAATAAAGGGTAACTATGAGCATGTTGCCATTATACTTCGGCCCAATTCTTGACAACTTAATCAAGTTGAAGATGCCTTGATTTTTCCAAATATTTCCTTTATTTTTCAATACTCTATTTAGCCAACTAAGGTAGTTTTCATTGTTATTAGAAAGAGAAGGACAAAATACACGATAGGGTTGTTCCATGATCCCTAACTAAAAAATTTGAACCTCAAATGCACGATGTTTATGAAGGAAAATTGTGATCCAAAACGTAGCGAAAAAGCAAACATAATAAAGAAATGTCTTTTATTATTAATAAATAATTCGATACAAGTACCAAAAGTATTGGCATCTACTTTAGAGTGGCTCATAATTAACACAGTCCGACTCTACTCTTGAGTGGATCACAAAGAATAGACAAAGCCCTAATAATTGACACTTTTATAGCTTTGGCTTGTACTTGCTTTAGGTTAATAATATTATATTTATAACCTTTCTCTGGACTGGATTTAGGCTTCAAAAACTCAACAAATTAATTGCTAAAACTCTGCATAATCTTCTTAAAATCAGCGCCACATAGGGTAGCATAATATTCCCAGAATATTCTGCATCTGTTAAAACTTAAGTTAATCCAACTGTCCAGCCCAACACAGTTACGATGTCGAGTGAATCTGCATAGGACATCTTGTCCGACATGTTGTTTCAGCTGATGAAACAAATCAACTCAACATGTTTTTTCTAAGTATGTTAGAACATTCTTTTTAACATGTTGTTGCCATATTTGTTTTATTAAAATTAATACCAATCATAAAATTAGAGAACTAACAATCTCCCCCTTTGGTTAATTTTGGCTTAAAAAAATAACCAAATTACAACTCAAATTACAACAATAAAAAACAACAATCAGAGTTAGTCTTCATATGCTACTAAGCACGCCAGCATGTCCTCAGTATGATTGATGTCACGACATCATGTTTGACATCTTCTTCACAACAGCTCCTTCAACACCAGAGAATGACAACCTCGAGATAAAAGGAGTAAAAAGTCCTGAAGTCATTTGATGTACAATAGGAAGAGGATATCTGACACTTGAAGATATCTGACACTCCCCCTTAACCCTGGAGGCTTTTCTTGTAACAACGACATAAATCTTCCTCTCAAAGGGCATAAGAAAACCTTTAAGAGGTAATCAGACACCAACCAGAACTGTCCAAATGATGACTCAAAGGTGCAACCTGCAACTCCAGGGAACTCAGAACACAAGACACAATTGTGTTCATAACTCAGAAAATAAGACACAGAATAAAAGCTTAGAATCAACATCGTGTTCGACATCTTTGTGAATGAGCTGTAGGAGCAGACCCAGACTTAAAAGAAGAATAGAACCAAAGATAGAACCAGAAGCTTTCTCTCCCTTTTTAGCCAAAAATTTATAAGAACATCCACTTCAAAACTATACCCAGATTGTACTCACCCAAACCCAGACAAAAGCCATAAGATCTATGTTAGAAATGATCTCCTTAAATACCCGAGCAATTCCTTAGGAGTTAAAGATCCTCGATCGTTCCAATGGTCTTGGTCAAAGACACTATTATTTGAGGAAGATAATTGTACCAAAAATTGAGTGTGCACCATCCAAGTCCGTTTTAAGCTCCTTTATTGACTTTTTACATATTCACCCTAGAATTGATAGTTCCAATAAATGTGCATGCACAGTCAGAGACACGTTTCACAATTCCACCTGACATGTATTTGATTACATCGTCTATAATACTCCCCTGTTAGACTTAGAATAAACAATTCCTGAACAATGTCCTAACATAGAGTCATACATTGTCTACTTTTTCTAGAAAAGAATCAAAACTTCTTTTGAAAACAGTAAATGTTGTTTCATAGTGTTATCCAGTAGTCAGATATAGACGGACATGTACTGAAGCATAATCACAATGCCTTCCATTAGACTTTAAAAATACTCTTTTTAGTTAGAAGAAGTGAAGCACACCAAGATGTCAAGACATCATGTAGGACATTTCTCATTTGTTAACCAACACATCCATTGAGACCCACCTGAATTCTTTCAAGAGCACCAAGAACAACCTCTAGTATCCCTATATCACAACATATTTTCTGACGTCATAAAATTAAAAGAGGTGTATAATCCCCACAAGCTTGAGCAACATGTAAGCTTCATAAGGTCTGCACCATTGCAGCAACAACATATTAACAATCACTCAATTCCCCCTAACATGGATAAACAGTAATCCCGTTGAGAATGAAAACTTGAGCACCAGTTGAAATCACATTAAGTATGTCACATTCTCATATTAAAAAAACTTATAAGCTCAGTCTTATTCCAGATACTCTAGTTCCTTGAGAGCATATCTAAGCATCCTGACTTATACATAAGGTATCATGATCCTTGTTTAGCAAGTAGTCATCTGCACTTGATTTGACATTCCTCACGTGCTTCAAAGATTATCAGTTTATTTGCTTCAGAAGAGCCAAACTTGTACAATTTTTTTCTAGAGTTACTTGTAGCGGGAGAAACCACCTCCTCAAAAGCATTCTGATCAATATTTGACACTGTAATACGGTGGGAGAACTGACTTTTTGGTTTTATCGCAAATATGGTGGTTAGCAAGAGTCGCCATCGACTTTTCTTTTATCCAATATTTAGGAAAGGTGAAAAGAAAAGGAAAGACCTTTGATAGATTTTGAGTTTAGGGGGTAAGTTATGAAAAAGGAAAGGTGTTAGAACCCTTTTCATCCGTAGTTATCTATGGGATCTTAATTTCTTAGCTCACTTTTAAAATTTTGCTTTGTGCGTATGTGATTTGTTTGGAAATATTATGAAATGCCAATGTAAGGATAACTTTGTAACAATTCTTGTATCAGTCCTCAAGAATGTATACAAAGTGTTTTTGAAAATATTTGTTTGAAAGTGATGTGTAAAAATGTATTTGTTTTGTGAAAAAGGTTATGAGAAAGCATTCAAGAGTTTTTACCCACTAAAGTATTTATTGTTATATTCATTCTCCTTTAGAGATAGTATCATATATACCATTAGTTGGTAGGTAATCCTATCTATTAGATGTGAAGGGACAGGCGTAGGGTCATCATATGGTCATCGAAGGGACTAGATCATTTTGTAGGAAACTTGAAGGGTCATCGAGGGACTATGATCTTTATTCGAAAGGGACTGTGATGATATTGTTAAATCGAGGGTCTTTTGTTAAAGTATCCCCACTTTCGAGGGACATGACCAATATTTGTAAGGCAAAAAAAGAGGTTACCCTAGAGGTGCAAGTGTGAAGAGTGTGTATTTTCAATTATCTTATCTTGAATTAGGGTTTTTTAGGTCCAATTGTTAGTCTTGCCATGCAAACCCTAATTACTAATAGTTAAATATAGTGTGCGGAATGTAAAGTGCGGAAAATTAAACATAAGCTATTACATCCCGTGAGAAGTTGCATAATTAGAAAAAAATGCGAGAAAATATAAATCTACG